GATCAATTTGGTTTTTCGTTAGAAATTTTGTTGACTGTGGATCATTCAAATAGTAATCTTGTTCAAAAACCTGTTGAGGACTACGATGGTAAGTGATTTTAAAAATATAAAAGGATAAAATTTGAAGAAATAAATGGTTTCAGATGATGAACAAAATAGTGCACTACTACTAAGAATCACTCAGTTCAAGAGTGAATCAATTATATATTTATTAGCTTTTGGTTTGATAGTGTTGACAGGTTTAGTCAGTAACATATTTTCAATAATCACATTAATTCAGCCGTCAATTCAACGTTCAACTATTGTTTGGTTTATTATTTTAACATCCATTACAAGTCAACTGAGTCTTACATTTTTATTTATCCACGTACTATATGTATATAAGCAACTACGGTTATGGATATTTCATTTCATAGAATAATTGTTGATCGCAAAAATAACCATCAGGATATATGTATAACCGAATATTCGTCAAATGTTTCAAACATTTGACACTATTGTTTTATTTATTCATCAACTTGTACCGTTTATGTTAAATGTTTAGGCTACTGGTATAATACTTTCAATGGCGGCACGAAGTAAATCAAATTTGAGTCATGAGTCATACATTTCATCATTATGGAAAAAATTTCTCTTCTGGTACAACTGAAAATTCCAGTCGAAATCCCGCTGAATCTTCGGCAATTGTCGAAGTTCATTGTAAATACGACAATACGAAGAAAATCATATCGATTTTCGACAATTGTCGAAATTATTGGCCGCTTTGCTCCGTATATTCGACAATACGAAGAAAATCCGTCGGAATTTGGACTTGCAAAATTCCAGATGGCGATATTCTAAGATATCAAACTGGATTTAATCAGCTGGCAAGCGTTGTTCTTACTATTCTACATCGCTGAGCAGTATGTGATCTTAAACGAACACGACGAAAGCTTTCTGTTTTATTATGTGTCGCCTTCTTTCGGCATATTACACACAGCTTGTGATTAGAATTAGCACAAATAGCATTGTCCATTGTAAGAAGCTGTTTGTTTTCTTCTATTTCAGTTTCCATATGTTCGGCTTCAACAGGATCAGGTGGTTTTGTAGCATTTTGACAAGCAGGATTTGGAAGTTCCACCCCTTTTTTCAGGTCATACATAATTTCAACAAAAGCAGCACATAAGTAAAGTGTTTTGATATCGAATAATTTGCTTTACGACTGAAGATATTGACGATATCAGTCGAATGTGTCAGAAGATGCTGAGCGACTGTTTTCATAAAGAGCAATAAATACATTGTTTATTCGGCATTTTTGGAAATTATTAAGGTGTACCTTCTAGTACATGCCTACTCTACAGGTGTTGTTTTAAGTTATTTATCGGATGAACAAACAAGAATGTCTTTACTAGAAGTTGGATTGAAGTTTTTGAATTAGAGTTTCAAGTACAAACTGGAATAATTCCTTTAGGAACACTTTCTTGTTGCTTTGGTAATCATTAGTATCAATTTCCTATTTTGTCGTAAAACTTATTTAATTGGTTGGTTCTGAGAGTAAGATATTATGCATTAGCATAGTCATCTTGTTATACGAACAGCGATATCAGACTATGTATATACGAGCGTGTATAGAATTGAAAAAACGAATGAACTCTAGAGGACTGAAGTATCAAGAGATAAAGGAAAAATACTGGGGGACTCATTCTTTAAGGCGAACTTGGTACGTCACACGTTTGTTCGCGGAGGGTATACGAAATGAATTTATATCAGAAATATTATATCAGAACGTTTATTGACAAAAGAGAAGAAGTGTACAATACATGTTCCAGTACAGCTTACGTTTTTCTTTACCTGCTATTAGAAAATATTTTTCCGATTATTTTTCCGAGAACTATCAAAAAATCAAATAAAACGTTTTCATATATCCATAAAAATAACACTTGAACTGTGATCATATGAATCATTCGTATTCACTATATGAAAATTTTGAGAATAAAGCAAATATGTACTTTAATCTTTTTCTTTATCAACAAACATTGTGATACTACTTCATTGAAATAGAGTTATTTTGTGCGTCGTATACTGTACTTTGATGATAATAAACTCATTTTCTCTGACCCTAATGGACTTGGAAAAATTTTAACACTACATTCTTATGTGCTTGACTCAGAGTTTTCCAACTACGTGTCAAAAGTGGTCACTTGTGGGGACGGCAGATTTTCGATCTTATCCGGCTGGCTCCTTTCTCATTTTGTACCTTTCTAATGTCAATAATTAAATTTTCTCTTAATATTTGTTTTAAAAGGTATAAACCGAAAAAACTTCACTGAGAAAAGCTGTTTCTTTAAAAAAGAAATATATAACTTACGTAATGACTCGTTATCGAAAAGTATTTACGTTTTACTGATAACGACAACAACGACGCAACAGTATGTATTTTAAGTCCAAACGGAAAGTTTTTACTGTTTTATCACGCAGAATATGTTCTTTTGCTTCATGAATCTCACGTGACCCATATATAGAAAAGAATGGACAAAACATTAGTATGGGTCTAACTGGAATAATTGTGACACGTAAAAACTCAAATGACTTTGATGCATCTTTCTGTTGCACTTAGAAAAGCTACTTCTTCATGTTCACGACGCAATAGTATGTATGTTGAGTCAAAATGACGGTTATATATATTCTTTTGCGTCGTGAGCGTAAAGAACTAGTTTTATGAATGCAATCGCTTTTGTTTTACGTCATGACGCACCAATACGTGATTTTCTACATATATAGGTACACTACTTGAGTTTCGTTGGTAAGAGAAATCACATTATTGACTGTGTAACAAAGAAAACTGCGAAAGAACAACTAAGCCAATTACCAACTGATAAGAAAGGTTTGGTACTCTCAACAACAACACTTTTCCCATTGACAAGCGGTAACAGAATAGAGCGTTTTTGAAAATGCCCTCGAATTGTAAAAGTGACTGCTGTTCATACAAAAGCTGTCTTTCAATAACCATTAAGAGCCAACACTTTAAATTCCGATCATAGATAGGGGAGAATCGTGGCTACAAAAGCGAAAGTATTCACTTCTTTTGAATCAGGAGATACTAGTATTTTACAAAAAGAAACAAAATCTTTATATCTCATCAATCCTCTACTAAACGGGATCTGTGCCAGTGGGTACATGAGTAAGCGTACATCCACACAAAATTTGAAGCCGCCAGTTATCACGGTTCTTGAGATCCAGGGGAACACTTTTCTGAAACCTGTATGCAATCTTACAGATCTCTAATTTTTGGTGCATTTTTGTGCATTTCAGTTAAAATGTTCTAAAGTTGAAAAATTTGTGTCTGGATTACTGCTTCTTTTTTCTACTTATTGTATTAAAGTTAAACATCTTTTAATTTGTTCACATATTTTCTTCGAATAGTAAACGGGCGATTGCCTACAAAATCACTTCGAAGAAGCAACAAACTACAATAGATAACAAAGCTTCCGCAAGGAAGTACAGCTCTACAATGCAAAATTATGAAACATTCTGTCTAGTGTGGCTTGATCTTCATGCGGGTAAAACCAAAGAAAATATAGAAGTACAAGCAAAATTACAGAGCTTGATCAATGACATGAAGATGTTCAATCAAGTTTATGAATGTGAAAAATTTATTAAAGAAGCCAAACATAGAAACATAATCCTAGTTACATCTGGTAGTTTTGGTAGAGATATTGTACCACGACTACATAATTTAGAGCAACTACGATCAATTTACGTCTATTGTATGGACAAGGCAGGCAATGAAAAATGGGCAAAACAATTTACGAAAGTGAGAATTTTTTCACATTCTGTAGCCACCAGATAAACTGATTACCAATATGCTACTATGAGACAAATAGTTTTGAAAACCGAGCTTTTCTGCGTGAGACTTTCCGATTTTCTTGTACAACATTAATGTGAAACGTCAATATTATCCGATTAGGGCTTATGGAAAGAGCTGAGATGCAAATTTTTCGTACCCTATCAATACTACTAGCCTTATATATAAAGGCATTCAGTAGTGCGCATATATTTCCATGTCCCACACATCACCAATGCTACTGTGATGTGTGGGACATGGAAATGGTACTGTGATCGAACCAATAGCATGCTCACTACGTTGTGATGTATAATAGAGTTCTTCTGGTAAGTCTTTGTAACTTTCAGAAAAGCTATTGCGTGGTTAGTGAGTGTGTACGGGGCGCTCAAGCAATTTGGGCGAAAGAACTTGGTGTCAAGCTAGCCTTCTTGTCGGGGCTGCAGTTTAATGACTAGTAACGATATGGGTGACATCGTCAGCTCCAGGGAAGATATTGGACTATTGAAATTGGCTCTAGTCAACACCCCTTGCCGATAACGGTAGCCCCAAAGCGAGGTATTCTTCCTTCTTCCTCCATGTCCAGAACTGGTTTTCTTATTGTTACAGTACAACATTTTTGAAATTCTGTCTGGAATTAATTTTGTTTTCTATCTAGGTGATGGGTGTCACTAACAATTTCGACGAATTAATAAAAAACATAGCCAACAGTCAAAACGTTCGTGACAAAAAAAATTTATATTTTATAATTATTAATTTCTTATGATTTTTTTTTTTTCTTGATACAGAATGCGGTTCAGTGCCAGGATGGTTCTACGGATGATAAATTACTAAACATAAATCCACAATTTGAAGCAGCAATAAAGGGCAATTTAGCTTATTTTATATCTACTCGTCCAGACTTTGCACTTCGAGATCCAACTAACTCAGAACAAAATGTACTCCATTTGGCTTGTAAATATGGAAATTTAAATTTATGTAAATACTTTCTTAATAGCTTTTATGAATGCAAAATTGATACGATTGTGGGTTGTTCTTTGGTGATGTCATGAGCACAATTCCTGTATGTAGGAGATTAGGTGCCATACACGTTTTGTACTCCTCTCCCTCTCTTAGGTATAACGAATATGTGACCGAGCCGTTGATGCAAATGGTAATACAGCATTACATTTATCTTCACGAAATGGGCATATAGGAATTGTACAATTTCTAGTTTTACACAAAGCCAATACAAATATTGTGAACAATGAGTTTTTAACTGCAACACAATTAGCTAAAACTGTTACTATATCCAATTTTATTACTAATCCGACACGTCTAATTGAAAATTTTCGTTTCTGTGACTTACCTCCATTTGAAACAAGCAACCTAACTACTGGTGAGAGTGAGTTTTTTAAAGTCAATAGTAGTACTTATAATGGCCAGATTTCAAGGCAAGATGTTATTAGATCATTACAAGAAAGTGATTACGCAGTTGTGGCTAATTATTTAAATACACATGTTGATTTGCCTCATGATAAATGGTGTGAAGCAATAATACATTTGTATTCGATGGAAACGCCGTTATATAAAACAATAAACTGTGATATATTGGCTGCAAATCCACTATGTAAATGTATTCCATATATTAGACATTTATCAGATTCTTTAGGATATCTTGGTCAAGGTGACGGTAACGTGTCTGAGCGACGGTTAAAGCGTTATTCAAGTATAGCATATAGGGGGGCTACTTTAACATTAACACAGATAGAAGCATTTCGCAATTTAGCACGTGAATTTGATTCTAATCCTAATACTTTCCGCAATTTGTGCCGTTTCCCTGCATTCACTTCTTTTTCAAAATCGAAAAGCAAGTGCTTAGGTGGTAACACATTGTTTATCCTCCATCCAATTTTGACCCATGTTCAAGGCGGAAATTACGCAAGTGAAGGTAATAAACCAATTGATATTTCTCCATTATCCGCATTTCCAAAGGAAGAGGAAGTATTACTGAATTGGTCAGAACAAATTGCGGTACTCAAATATGAGTTTCTAGACAACAAACATGTTCTCCATGTGGAACCAACTAGTGTCGGAGGGTAAAATTTGACACCTATCTCACAATAAACGATAAACATTGACCAATATTCAATCTGTCTTTTACCTCTAATGAAAATACTATTATGTAGTCTAAAGTTGAATTTCAGTCCAGTTAAGTTGTTAAAATTTTTCACTTTTTATTGCTTAATCACGCTTTACTAACATTTCCATTTTCCCTGTATTTTACCATTAATCATATTCAGTACAATAGGTTTTTTCCATTCTATATCACGCACTTCAGATAAAATCCGTTGAGTTCAGGACGAGGTAAAATAGAAGAGTAAGTTATTTTTTTAACAAATCTTGGAACACATAGCGACGATAGGAGAAGCATGAAATATTCGAGTTTTTCCAGAGCCCACAAGAAAATAATAGCATTTCCCTTTTTTCCAGCCGCTTTTAGTGTTATCGATCGTAGGTGAGAGAGTACGGTCAATTTATACGATGAAATACTATATTTAAAGTATACTATACATAATTTGTATAGAATTACTTCTTTTTTTTTCCTCACGCGCACCAGTATTGCGCCTGCTTTAATTCCTTTTAATATTTCGCATACTTAACATACCTACATACTTTGGATACTTTGTACAAGTACACATAGTAGTGATCGGTTTTATGCGGTTTACGCTCATTCCACACAGACCCCTCCCACAGTGGGTATTTCCCCATAGAGCAGGCGGAAATGACCTTTTTTTCTTCAAAAACTACTTTATCTCACTCTACTCAACACGGGTAGTTAGTCAGAAAGTGAAAAAATCATTTTGGAAGAGAAAAGTTTCTGGTCAAAAAAATCGATTTTTCTCAATTTTTCACCTAAGCATCGAGTTTTAATTTTACAGGGGATTTACTGAACATTGTCAAGTTATACATCATTCGATGCAGTTTTTGACGCTGATTTCGAATATGATATTATTTTTAAGCAAAAGTAAAAATTTTTGATGGAGAAAACGTCGAAATATCTCGAAAACCCTATGGTTTTTGGAAAATCCATAACCAGACTTAGAAGAAAAATGGAAAGGGGCAGAGGCATTGTTGTGAAAACCGGTTTTTCGCCTGCTACTAGCAAAAATTAAAATCCTTATATCTCGATCAAATCTCATGCTGACTCAAGGAAATTTTCAGAAAAGGCTTAAAAGGTGTCATAGGTTGTTGACCACGCCAAAAAAGTGGTCCAGCAGAATACTGATGCTCTGAGGTGTTTCAGAAGGTTTCTGGAAAACCTTAAGCCAGTGCTCAGCTCACATTCACCTTTTACGTCTTCGATTATGTTTTATGAGCTGTCCTGAGCGTTTGCTGAAAATTTCCTTGAGTCAGCATGAGATTTGATCGAGATATAAGGATTTTAATTTTTGCTAGTAACAGGCGAAAAACCGGTTTTTCACAACAATGCCTCTGA